ACCATCGGCCGATATCAAGGACAATCACCCTGAAAAGAACTTTACCGCTCGTGCTATAGAGCATTTTGGTGACGTCTGCCTCTCCCACTTCAGATCCATTTTGAAAAGTAGACAGAGACAGACGTCGTTGGATAGATTTTTCACAAAGAGGCCAGCAACAAGTCAACCTTCAGGTGAAAGTGTGCCTTAGAGGGCGAAAAGCGATGGAAGTAGCAGTAGTGATTAGTTCAAAAACATAAAAATGTAAAAATAAATGATAAAATAGAATTTTTTTTTAATTATCTAAGTTGAAAAAAGTTTTAGTTTTAATGTTTAGAACGTCATGTACATGCAGCATATGTATGTATGTATGTATGTATGTATGTATGCATGCATACAGCTGACACATATACACTTATTCCTCTAACTTTGAGTTAATGGTAATGTTTTTACCCAAATGCGATACTTCTTAAAATACAAGCAGACATTACAAAGAAAGCTGAAGTGTTACTAATTGTGTAAAAATGTCTGAATTGTTTTTTGTTGCCTTTCTTTTTTACTTGTAGTGTTTTAGATGTCAGGGCTGTTGGTGGATTAAAACTTTTTGTTAATAAAAATAATGTTCTCTCTGGTCTTTAATGTGCACTTCAGTGTCTGTTGCACTACCTCCTGATGTTTAAAGCCTGATTAATCTTTGAATTAAAAAATCAACAACTTTACACCTTAATGTTATGCCAGTTTCCCCCGTGGTGGTGCTGTATGTATGCATGCATGCATACCTATGCTTTCTTCAGCCTCCACCACCTCCGCCACCAAGAACTTCGTCTCCAGCCAGCATCTTCTCACTCAAAAGGCGCGATGGCTGCTTCGATTTACAAAAAACCGTCGGGAACAGATTAATTTCGTAAGTCGGGGTTCCACTGCAGTGTGTTGCTGTGACATTTGTGAGGTTCCCTCAGACACACTCCGCCAGTCTTGTTGCTGTTAACAACAAAATATTTTTAAAAATCCACCATCTGTTCCACCGTCACCAGTTAATCTGGAACACCGAGTGATTTAACGCTACTCCGTGTTCATACTTGGAAGTATTAGCATGTTATTGACTTGGATACTATATTGTTTTAAGCCTTTGTGAATGTTTGTTCATTTTAAAGTGAAAACGCCATCTGCTTTTGGCACAAAACTATCGAATTTGCAGCTTC